TACACCTACGCTTGTGATCAAAACATATCACAGTACCTGGAGGTTACCTGGAGGTTATTCCGGGGATCAGCGCCCCCGCGGCCCGGTCCATGACCAGGCCTCCCGATGGATCAGGGCCAGATCAACTAGGCTGTTACTGCTGGCCGTACGCAGTCCAACGTACGAGCCACAGCCCGGCTGATCCGGCACTGACTTTAGGTATCTGTCCAGCTCTCTCTTGAAGGCAGCCAGGGGTTTATTGGCAATTCCCCTAATGCTTGATGGGAGGCTGTTGAACAGTCTTGGGCCCCGGACACTTACGGTGTTTTTCCTTAGTGTACCAATGGCGCCCCTACTTTTTATTGGGGGCATTTTGCATCGCTTGCCCAGTCTTTTACTTTCGTAGGGAGTGATTTGTGTGTGCAGATTTGGGACCATTCCTTCCAAGATTTTCCAACTGTAGATTATGATATATCTCTCCCTCCTACGTTCCAACGAGTACAAGTCAAGTGCTTCCAAGCGTTCCCAGTAGTTAAGGTGCTTGACAGAAATTATACGTGCAGTAAAGGATCTCTATCAGTACCTGACAGTAGTGCTCCCACCTCTCTGGGTATACATATTTTCTCCTCTACGAGAGCTGACAGACTTTCACTAGCATGGTTATACTTCATTTCAATGGTAGTCATAATCTTAATTTTTTAAAGGAGTGGACCGGTAAGCCAGTGGAAGGCCTCAGCCAGATAAAAAGCTCCAGTTGCGGGCCACCATAAGACTAAGACCATCGTCAGGAAACACCTGTCCTGTTTCCTGACAAACCTAACATAAAGAATGGTTTCTAACAGTGGTGAGTGGAAGACCTGGTTCTAGGTCATCATCCGACCTGTTTGACATGCGAGGTGGAAAGGAGGGGAAGGGAGTGTGAGGGTAGGTACAGATGAGATATCAATGGAATAAATGATATAAAATACTGACACGATGGAAAAATAGACACAAATACAGCATAATTTTATACTTTATTGACTACGTTTCGCCCACACAGTGGACTTTATCAAGTCACAAAGCAACCTGAGCATAGTGACGTAGAGAGTCAAGTGGACAATATTATGAAAGTTGAATCTGAGACGGACCTGCCCAGGATGATGATTATTATTATAATCAAAAAGAAGCGCTAAACCACAAGGGTTATACAGTCCAGGATGATGAGCAAGTAGGTTGGTTGTTGTTACCTGGAGGTTGTTCCGGGGATCAACGCCCCCGCGGCCCGGTCCATGACTAGGCCTCCCGGTGGATCAAGACCTGATCAACCAGGCTGTTACTGCTGGCCGCACGCAGTCCAACGTACGAGCCACAGCCCGGCTGATCCGGCACTGACTTTAGGTATCTGTCCAGCTCTCTCTTGAAGGCAGCCAGGGGCTTATTGGCAATTCCCCTAATGCTTGATGGGAGGCTGTTGAACAGTCTTGGGCCCCGGACACTTATGGTGTTTTCCCTTAGTGTACCAATGGCGCCCTTACTTTTAATTGGGGGCATTTTGCATCGCCTGCCCAGTCTTTTACTTTCGTAGGGAGTGATTTCTGTGTGCAGATTTGGGACCATTCCTTCCAGGATTTTCCAACTGTAGATTATGATATATCTCTCCCTCCTGCGTTCCAACGAGTACAAGTCAAGTGCTTCCAAGCGTTCCCAGTAGTTAAGGTGCTTGATAAACTTATACGTGCGTTGTGGGGGGATAACGATGAAGAAGTTTCCTGACAAGGGGTTTAGCTGAACCCCTTGTCAGGTCCAAGTCACACCGGCTCAAGAAGGTGCACTGACCAGGCCCAAGTTGGTCAGGTTCAACTCTTCAACTCACACCCACTCATGCATTTGTCTAACCTATTTTTAAAACTAATCAACGGTTTAGCTTCATTGACGTTACTCAGGAGTTTGTTCCATTATTATTATTATTATTATTATTATTATTATTATTATTATTATTATTATTATTATTATTATTATAAATAGCTACAAGCTACACTGAGCGAGTCGTCATGCAACTACTAACAACCTCAAAAGGAATATTTTTCACATTCATCTTCACAAAATATTTCTCCAACATAAACCCTCCAGCCCGTTTACCCTCCCCCCCCCCGCATTACTTCCCCGGCCTGTAAAGGGCCCACTACACCATCCGGCACCTACAGGTCACCTAAATCCAGCCACCCACCAGAGTCGAACAACAATATGTTTCTCGAGTGACTGAGGAAGGAAAGGTTCCAGGTTGATTCCCAGGAGAATAGTTCACCTTTCAGGATCAGGGTGGTGTTCCTGACCCACTCCCATGAACTCCCACCACTACTAATCCTTTACCAGCAGTGCTGTTATCACTCCTCCCCACCAAAACCTACACTACCCCGTCCCCCCCTCAACCACCACCCTGACCTCTCACATCACAACCAGACTTGTTTTCACCCATCTCTTGTACTACCACGCCCCACCAATGCGGCCTTCACTCCCTCCCTCACCACCCGATCCCAGGCCAGGCCTCCCGATGGCTTAACCAGGCTGTTACTATTGGCCACACGCAGTCCAACGTACGAACCACAGCTTGGCTGATCAGGAACTTACTTGAGGATATTATCAATTTCCTCGTAAAGGCAGCCAGAAGTTTGTTGGTAATCTCCCTTATGAATGGAACTGAATAGTCTTGGTAAACCTGCTTTTCACTGGCTGCGTTTTGCAGAGTCTGACGAGACTGTTTCGTAGGGAGAGATTTCTGTGTGCAGATTTGGGACTAATTCCTCCAGAAATTTCCAGGTGCAGATTATGATGTATCTCTCTAGCCTACATTACAAGGAGTACAATTCAAAATATTTAAAATGTTCCCAGTAATTCAGTTGATTGACTGAATTTATACCAGCAGTAAGAGTTTCTACGTTTTCCAGTTCTGCAAGTTCTCCTGTCTGGAAGAGGTCATATTCTAGCCCACAGAGAACAAGTGGCTCAGCATCTCTTGTTCTGAATGTTCTAATTATCCGTCGTACCATTTTCCTTGTGACTGCGTGAAGGAGAAAACCAACAACCCCTTGACTGTCTTCAAGAGGGAACTCTAAAAATTCCTCAAAACAGTTCCTGATCAGCCGGGTTGTGGTGCAGATGCTAGAGTGCGGGTGGCGGCGGGCATTTGATAGCTTGATCGATCAGGCCAGTAACCAGGAGGCCTGGTCTGAGACCTGGCCGCGGGGGCGATGACCCCCGGAAGCGACTCTGGGTAAGCCCCAGGTAATCGTAGAATGCAAGAACCTCTGGCATCATCACTTGCAAGTCTGGCACGTGGAATTTTCGCTCTTACTGAATGATTCCAGTTTATCTTGTATTACGTTTCAGAAAATTAAACAACTAATGTTCTGCTTCTGTAACTATTGCCCACATGAAAAGGCGATAGTGTGTAGAACATAATTAATAGTCCATAGAAAGAACATTCTCGAGGAAGTAAACATCACAGGGAGTGGGAAGTACATATTACAGAGAGTGGGATCAACAGTGTTACACAATCAAATTAACCAACACTTACCTACCTGGAGGGTGTTTCAGGGGTCAACACCCCCGCGGTCCAGTCCTTGACCAGGCCTCCCGGTGGATCAGGGCCTGATCATCCAGGCTGTTACTGCTGGCTGCACGTAGTTCAACGTACGAACCACAGTCCGGCAGATAGGGTACTGACTTTAGGTATCTGTCCAGCTCCCTCTTCAAGACAACCAGAGGTCTATTGATAATTCCCATTATGGCTGGTGGGAGGCTGTTGAACAGTCTTGGGCCCCGGACACTTATTGTGTTTTCTCTAATGTACTAATGGCGCCCCTACTTTTCACTGAGGGTATGTTGCATCGCCTGCCAAGTCTTTTTGCTTTCGGAGGGAGTACTTTTGTGAGCAGATTTGGGACCAGTCCCTCTAGGATTTTCCAGGTGCAGATTATGATGTATTTCTCTTTCTCCTGAGCTCCAGTCAGTACAGATCAAGTGACCTCAAGCGTTTCCAGTAATTAAGGTTACCTGGAGGTTACCTGGAGGTTATTCCGGGGATCAACGCCCCCGCGGCCCGGTCCATGACCAGGCCTCCCGATGGATCAGGGCCTGATCAACTAGGCTGTTACTGCTGGCCGCACGCAGTCCAACGTACGAGCCACAGCCCGGCTGATCCGGTGTGTTTGACAGAACTTATATGTGAAGTAAAGGTTCTCTGAACATACTCTAGAACTGCGATTTCGCCTGCCTTGAATGAAGATGTTAGCAGTACTCCATGCTAGAGAGAACCAGTGATTTAACAAGAATACATGTTGCAGTCTTAGGATCATTTCCAAAAACACTGAAAAACTGGATACACAGGCAAGCAGCAGCAGCCTGGTTGATAACGCCAATAACCAGGAGGCCTTGTCTGGTACCGGGTCACAAGGAAGATGACCACAGGAATCGTCTCTGGGTAAACATCAAGAATATACAAGTGTGTTACCTGCTCTGCTATCTGTTAGTGGTTCGAAGAATTATCGTCCATTAAGGGCCGGTCACAGACCAGGCCTTCTAGGGTAGAAAGGAAAAATATACCATTAAGAACTATTAGGAAGCACACGTAAAGTAAAGGTTAAATGTAAACTGAATGCGATCAGAAGTTTGCAAAATTTACCCGTCATTTTTACTGTTTATGAGAAAAGTCCAGCAGTCTGACTAGAGAACAAGAATTTTTTTATTTTTTTTTTTTACAGGTTTACATTTTACACTCACTTAACAGGAGGTTAGAGTACCTCCCAGGATGGTTGCTCTCTACCAGTTTACTACGTATGACAGGAGGGTAGTACCTCCCAGGATGGTTGCTCTCTACCAGTTTACTACGTATGACAGGAGGGTAGTACCTCCCTGGATGGTTGCTCTCTACCAACCTACTACCTGTACAAGAGAATAATGTTGGCTGTGACATTCCAAAATATGTTCCAAGAGGAGAAAAAAAGGTGAAAATGATAACGGAAGAAAGAGGAGGGGATACTCACCTGAGAGACACTGTTGTTGCTTGGCCACCATTAGTTCCAGCCTCTCAATCCACACACACTTGTTCCATGGTGTACTTAACTCTCCCAGTGACACACGCAAAATACACTGATGCACTCACAGCACAAGGGTCGCTAGTTTTTTTTTTTTTTTCACTGGATAAAAATTCCCGTCACAGCAGTCGCTTGCGTATATATTTTCAAAGTTTTTAAAGTCTTTAGATATATATATATATATATTTTTTAAGTTTTATATATCGTTTTACTTTTCTTTTATTGTCTTATAAAAGTATCACTCACTGTAACTTTCTGTCCACAAGGCAAAAAAAAAAAAAAATGTCAATGGATATAAAACACGTAATAATATATAATTAACATTAATTGTTTACCATTATGAATAATAATGTTTATATGTATTTTTTACAAATATAAGAATATGTATTCAAACAACCTCAAGGAAATATCCTTAATGCCTTTATATTTACTCTTCTCCGAGGCTGCGGGTCCCCACAGTTACACCTAGACGACCCCATCTATGTTTTGGTACTAGTTTACTGCGTGCGTGTGCGTGTGCGTGTGTGTGCGTGCGTGCATGTGTGCGTGTGCGTGTGCGCGTGTGTGTGTGTGTGTGTGTGTGTGTGTGTGTGTGTGTGTGTGTGTGTGTGTGTGTGTGTGTGTGTGTGTGTGTGTGTGTGTACTCGCCTAATTGTGGTTGCAGGGGTCGAGACTCAGTTTCCTGGCTCCGCCTCTTCACTGATTGCTACTAGGTCCTCTCTCTCTCTCTGCTTCCTGAGCTTTATCATACCTCTTCTTAAAACTATGTATGGTTCCTGCCTCCACTACTTCACTTGCTAGGCTATTCCACTTCCTGACGACTCTATGACTGAAGAAATACTTCCTAACGTCCCCGTGACTCGTCTGAGTCTTCAACTTCCAGTTGTGACCCCTTGTTCCTGTGTCCCTCTCTGGAACATCCTATCTCTGTTCACCTTGTCTATTCCCGCAGTATCTTGTGTGTCGTTATCATGTCTCCCCTGACCCTTCTGTCCTCCAGTGTCGTCAGTCCGATTTCCTTCAACCTTTCCTCGTACGACATTCCCTGAGCTCTGGGACTAGCCTTGTTGCAAACCTTTGTACTTTCTCTAACTTCTTGACGTTGCTTGACCAGGTGTGGGTTCCAGGACTGGTGCTGCATACTCCAGTATGGGCCTAACATACACAGTGTACAGTGTCTTGAACGATTCCTTATTAAGGTATCGGAACGCTATTCTCAGGTTTGTCAGGCGCCCGTATGCTGCAGCAGTTATTTGGTTGATGTGTGCCTCCGGTGACTTGCTCGGGTGTTATGGTTACCCCGAGGTCTTTCTCCCTGAGTGAGGTCTGTAGTCTTTGTCCACCAAGTCTATACTCTGTCTGCGGTCTTCTTTGCCCCTCCGCAATCTTCATGGCTTTGCATTTGGCAGGATTGAATTCGAGAAGCCAGTTTCTGGACCACATGTCCAGCCTGTCCAGGTCTCTTTGTAGTCCTGCCTCATCCTCATCGATTTAATTCTTCCATCAACTTCACATCATCTGCGAACAGGGACACTTCAGAGTCTATTCCTTCCATCATGTCGTTCGCATATATCAAAAATAGCACTGGTCCTAGAACTGAGCCCTGTGGGACCCCGCTCGTCACAGGCGCCCACTATGATACCTCTTCACGTACCATGACTCGTTGCTGCCTCCCTGCCAGGTTTCCCTGATCCATTGCAGTGCCCTCCCTGTTACATGCGCCTGATCCTCCAGCTTCTGCACTAATCTCTTGTGGGGAACTGTGTCAAAGGCCTTCCTGCAGTCTAGGAAAACGCAATCAACCCACCCCTCTCTCTCGTGTCTTACTTCTGTTACCTTGTCATAAAACTCCAGGAGGTTTGTGATACAAGATTTGCCTTCCATGAACCCATGCTGGTTTTCATTTATAATCTTGTTCCGTTTCAGGTGTTCGACCACTCTCCTCTTGATAATCTTCTCCATGACTTTGCACACAATACATGTCAGAGACACAGGTCTGTAGTTTAGCGCCTCGTTTCTGTTTCCTTTCTTAAATATGGGGACTACATTTGCTGTCTTCCATTTCTCAGGTAGTTGCCTAGTTTCAAGGGATGTGTTGAAGATTGTGGTTAGAGGCACGCACAGCTCCTTCTCTACCTGGAGGTTATTCCGGGGATCAACGCCCCCGCGGCCCGGTCCATGACCAGGCCTCCCGATGGATCAGGGCCTGATCAACTAGGCTGTTACTGCTGGCCGCACGCAGTCCAACGTACGAGCCACAGCCCGGCTGATCCGGCACTGACTTTAGGTATCTGTCCAGCTCTCTCTTGAAGGCAGCCAGGGGTTTATTGGCAATTCCCCTAATGCTTGATGGGAGGCTGTTGAACAGTTTTGGGCCCCGGACACTTATGGTGTTTTCTCTTAGTGTACCAATGGCGCCTCTACTTTTTATTGGGGGCATTTTGCATCGCCTGCCCAGTCTTTTACTTTCGTAGGGAGTGATTTCTGTGTGCAGATTTGGGACCATTCCTTCCAAGATTTTCCAAGTGTAGATTATGATATATCTCTCCCTCCTGCGTTCCAACGAGTACAAGTCAAGTGCTTCCAAGCGTTCCCAGTAGTTAAGGTGCTTGACAGAACTTATACGTGCAGTAAAGGATCTCTGTACACTCTCTAGATCTGCGATTTCACCTGCTTTGAATGGAGATGTTAATGTACAGCAGTATTCCAGCCTAGAGAGAACAAGTGATTTGAAAAGGATCATCATGGGCTTGGCATCTCTCTAAGGACCCATCCCCTCAAGGAAGGCTCCTTGACGCTGGTGAGGGGCTCTTGATCTAGGGAATTGGATCTGTGCTCCAGTTCCCTGAATTAAGCCTGAATGCCTTCCATCCCCCCATAGGCGCTGTATAATCCTACGGGTTTAGTGCTTCCCCCTTGATTATAATAATAATAATCTAAGGACCCATGGGGAGATGTCCGGTCCCATCGCCTTTGAGGTATCAAGGTCACTTACCAGCTTCTTCACCTCCTGTGTGTGTGTGTGTGTGTGTGTGTGTGTGTGTTGTTGTGTGTGTGTGTGTGTGTTCTCCTGTTGTTCTCACTAGTTGAGGTTGCGGGGGTCGGTCCGAGCTCCTGGCCCGCCTCTTATGATCGCTACTGGTCATCTCCTGAGCCTGGTGAGCTTTATCATACCCTCTGCTTAAAGTATGGGGATGGATCCTGCCTCCACTACTATCGCCACTTCCCAACTATTCCACTTACTGCTACTGTGGACTGAAAATACTTCCTAAACTATCCCTGTGATTCATCTGTGTCCTTCAGCTTCCAACTGTGTCCCTTGTTACTGTGTCCAATCTCTGGAACATCCTGTCTTTGTCCACCTTGTCAATTCTCTCAGTATTTTGTATGTCGTTATCATGTCCCCCTATCTCTCTGTCCTCCAGTGTCGTCAGGTTGATTTCCTTAACCTCTCCTCGTAGGACATACCTCTTAGCTCTGGGACTAGTCTTGTTGCAAACCTTTGCACTTTCTCTAGTTTCTTTACGTGCTTGGCTAGGTGTGGGTTCCAAACTGGTGCCGCATACTCCAATATGGGCCTAACGTACACGGTGTACAGGGTCCTGGAAACGATTCCTTATTAAGATGTCGGAATGCTGTTCTGAGGTTTGTAGGCGCCCATATGCTGCAGCAGTTATTTGGTTGATGTGCGCTTAAGGAGATGTGCCTGGTGTTATACTCACCCAAGATCTTTTTCCTTGAGTGAGGTTTGTAGTCTCTGGCCCCCTAGACTGTACTCCGTCTGCGGTCTTCTTTGCCCTTCCCCACTCATAACTTTGCACTTGGTGGGATTGAACTCCAGGAGCCAATTGCTGGACCAGGTCTGCAGCCTGTCCAGATCCCTTTGTAGTTCTGCCTGGTCTTCGATCGAGTGAATTCTTCTCATCAACTTCGCGTCATCTGCAAACAGGGACACCTCAGAGTCTATTCCTTCCGCCATGTCGTTCACAAATACCAGAAACCGCACTGGTCCTAGGACTGACCCCTGTGGGACCCCGCTTGTCACAGGTGCCCACTCTGACACCTCGCCACGTACCATGACTCGCTGCTGTCTTCCTGACAAGTATTCCCTGATCCATTGCAGTGCCTTCCCTGTTATCCCTGCTTGGTCCTCCAGTTTTTGCCCCAATCTCTTGTGTGGAACTGTGTCAAACGCCTTCTTGCAGCCCAAGAATATGCAATCCACCCACCCCTCTCTCTCTTGTCTTACTGCTGTCAGCATGTCATAGAACTCCAGTAGGTTTGTGTGTGTGTGTGTGTGTGTGTGTGTGTGTGTGTGTGTGTGTGTGTGTGTGTGTGTGTGTGTGTGTGTGTGTGTGTGTACGTCCGCACCAGTGACCAGGAAAATTAACATTTTATCACTAACAAAATTGTTAATGTTATAACACAAACATTTGGAGCCATGACTGCATGGTTCATCTCAGTTTGCATAGAAATGTAGAATTACTTTGCTCACAGCCAACCCACAATTTAGGGTTGAAACTTTGCCTAAAATCTCAGGGCAAACACAATTTATTATTATTTATTTTTATATTGAATATCAAAGCTGTAAACTCTGAAGGATCGTACGGGTGTTACAAAACTCGTGGCCCCAAGACTTTTGTAACACAGCTGTAACTGATTCCGGAAGTTTTCTACTCTAGCAGTCACATCTAAGGTCAGACTTTCATTCTGACTGCCTGATCAGCCAGGCTATTGCTACTGCCCACAGGGACTTTCACACAAATTTTTCAGCTCACTCTATGAAGCTGTTAATCAAAGCAAAGCTTTCACCACATTTCTAGTGTGTGGTGTGTAATATAAACATGGTGAAGCTTTTTTTACTTCACCAGACAGCTTAGCGACACAGTCTGACCTTAGTCAATATATAACGAAGCTAAATCCTGCTTGACTTATCTTGGGTCAGACTAAATTTAGTTGCAGTTACTTAGCACCAGTGAAGAGTGTTGCTTCAGTCATGATTACCAGGGTTTTGACTGAGTTAGTGTAACACAAAATTTAAATTCTGTATACATGTATATGTTCATAGGAGCTTATTTTTCCTTGATAATGACGATGTCTATATAAATTCCGTCTGCCCTATGTATGGTACAGTGTATTCCGGGTAACAGTAACTCCAGCTCTGCTGGAAGGAAGCTTTGGAAGGTGTTGTTGCTACTAAACTCATAGTGGAATACTTGACAATATCACCACCACCTTACTAAAGTCTCCCAGCT